AGCCAAATGAGCTTGAGCCGTAGCCATTTTTCCCCTCGACCCTAAACCCCCTAACCCTTTTTGAACGAGGTCTCTCTGAAGTGCCTCCAAGCTGATACCCCCTGACCCTAAACCCTAAAGCCCCTGCACCCTAAACCCCTAGACCCCTAAACCCCTAAGCCCCCAGGCCCCCTAAAACCGAGTCCTCGTTGGAGAGCCCCTCCGCTCCGGGCTTCGGCGCCGGGCCTCGGCTCTTTTCTGAAAAGTTCGCGGGGATCGGGATTTCTTGCTTTTTTTTGTTGGTGTTTCTTCGATGTTTTGGTGTGTTTCTTGGGTTTCGTGTTTTGGGGGGTATAATTATTGGGGGTTTCTTAAGCCAGGTCTACAGGGTTTCGGATTTCGTAAAGCCTAAGGTTCTTTGAACTTGCCATAGGGTCGGTGCTTCAGGGTTTGTCGGGTTGAGGGTGTTAACACTCACACTTGCAGGTTAAAGGCTTAGGCATTCTTGGTGCACCTGTTGTTGCGCTTATTGATTACTATATTGCGGTCATGGTGCTCATCTTTACAGCATTTGTGTTTCGTCTTGTTGTGCTGCTTCTATGCTGGGCTATTCTTAGTGGTAGTGTCTTTGCAGGGTCTACATTGTGAAAAACAGCGGCTATGCGAGTTTTATGATGGCAGTCTTCTTCATTCATTTATGGCCAGGCGCAGTCGCTGATGTCTGGCACGGTTCCAGGTCGTTTTAGATCCAGACTTCAACCTTCTCTCTTCTCTTGGGATCCGATCGTCCATCAAGGTAACCCCCACGGTTCAAAGATCTGACCTGAATCTCAGGGACCAGCCATAAACCACCGACCCAACGCCTGGGAGCTTGAATCCAAGCCTAGGTCCTCATTCCTGAGCCCTGGGAATATATAACCCTACACCCGAATCCCGAAACCCTGACCGGAATTCCGCTGCGGCGCATTTCGGCATGTCCAAGCCAGCCATAGTGAGGAAGAGTTGCGGGGAACGCCTCCGTGGATCTGATGGCTAAAGTTGCTCAAGCCTTTCTTTCCTTTGCAAGCCAAGCTCTCGGTTAGGACACTTTGGGTTTCAGTCCGGAGGGCTTGCCAAGGGGGCTGAAGCGCTATTACAACAAAAGATGTGGATTCCCTGGCCACACTAGAACCAGAATAGAAAGCCCCAGAAGTCGCTCCAAAGTAAGATGAGCAAGTCTACCAGTGCCCAGCCTGTTGCAGACTTCCAATGCCATTGTCCTGGGCTCTCAGCGTGCAGCAGCACCAGAAGTCTCCAGTCTTCTCGACTGGTTCTGATCACATCCACGTGTTCTGCTAAGACCACAGAGAAGCAGACTGCATCATACTCCACATAGTAAAACAATATGACGTTCATGTGCATCCGGGCTCTGATGCTCGAACCTGAAAACGCAAGGCGCAAAGCTAGACGGAGTACTGCAGCGACGCCTTCCCAGCATGAGCTGCACCACGAGGCTGGGGGGAAAATAACTGAATGTATCAACGACTCCTTATTTTACCAAAACCCGCAAAAGGCCTCTGAAGATTCACCAAATACCACTAGTTGCAGGATCAGGCTCTCGAAAGGGATGCCCAAAGGACGGCTGAACAGGGAATCGTTCTCGTCCACATCCTGGGGCAGCTGCCGGCGGACGAGTTTCCCGAATGTGTTATGCATTATATGAATTATATTCTGCAACACTATATTATATTTTGTTATAGCTTATTGTACTATGACGCAAGTTCGTAATCAAATTTTGTCCATACCTTACAAGTAGGAGTTAGGATTATGGGGACCCTTCGGGACATGGACCCTCTCAATAAGGTCCCGTTTTAGAGAGCCACAAGTAGAGCTGAATAAGGGGTGTCCCTAATACTACCTAGGATACTTGGCCCGGTGATATGTTTGCAGTGTCATCCTTTTGCAAACCCTGCCTGCATCCCTCGCAACACCACCAGCCAACCCCTGACTTGCTCCTGGACGCATTCTGATTGCAGCCGACCCGCTTTTCGAAGTGCGCGATTCTTCCAGCGGTTGAGCTGCACCATTATGCGGATGGCCTCTCGGCTCGGAGGAGCGCTTCCCCTTCTGTGTCTCAGGGTCAGTGAGAGTTACGGCTTGGAAACCCATGAACATCATGGAATGCAGTGCAACCAAACTGGCCCAGGGCACTTCTACATGCCAGTGGGCAACGCAAGCAAGCAGATACGTTTACGAGCGCTTCATCGCAGCCACTACATGACGCCTCACCTACAAAAGCCCCCCAGGTTTGAGGATCGCAACCCGCAGCCCAAGAGCCGCTTCCATATACGATGCTCTGTCAGATTCCGTGTTTACTGTGACTTCAGATGTCTGACGTTGCCTCTAATTAATTACTCCTCGAGTTCTTCACAAGGAATTTACGACGGCATGGTCGTCAAAGAACACTCCAATCGCCGCATATGAACCTAGCCAAAATCACTGCAAAACCTCGAGCCGGGACCCTGTCACTGGCCTTGCGCAAGTTCGCCAGGTTCTTCTCGCGCTTCCCCACCTTCATCACCTTGCGGGCTGTCGTTCCCCAGGGATGCACAATCCCGACACAAATGATGGAACTCCTACCTCCACTGCCCGCTACACTCAGGCCCATCTTGCTGTGGCTTGGTTGCGACAGGAGGCGAAGCAAACGATCTGATCTCAAGCGTGCCTTGTACAGGTAGGTGCTGAACTCCACCGCGTGCGCATAGGCACGGGCCTTCTTCAGCGAGAATTGCCTCTGCTGTTCAATCTGGAACCTGTGATCTGGTCTACTCCCAGGCTCTCCGACAGGGGACCCCTGGCAGGTAACATATGCCATATGGACCAAAGGAAATATGGCCTAATAGCCTACGTGCTCGCAGAATAGAGAGCGCTTCAGCATCTAACCTGTGCCAGCGCAAGCATATTAACGCCAAATGCAGACCTCCACATAAGACTGGAAATTGTGCTGGCTGCCTTTCTGCACAGAAAATGATGCTGCAGTTTTGGAGCTATAGATTCTACATAACTCTTTGTGTTGCACAGACTTGCACATGCCCGCCATAACCCTAAAACCCTAAACGGCCTTAAACCCTCTTAAACGCTCCCAAAGAGCCCAAAGAAAGCACACACTCTCTCTCTCTCTCTCTCTCTCTCTCTCTCTTAATGCGGCCTAAGGTGCTTGCGGATGCGCCGAATGACCGCTTGCGATGCCTGACCTCATTTGGAACACGGGTTCCCACTCGTTTGAGACTTTTATCTGTTCTATCTGATCTAGTTATCTATCTATCTATCTATCTATCTATCTATCTATATATATATATATATGTATCTGCATCTGTATCTATATTCTTTCGCACGGTTTTGTCTTTTTGAGGTCGCTAGTACTTCATGGGGTTGTCGTGGTTGCGCTTAGGGTGGCAGAAACTCAAACTATGCATATCACTGCCACCCTCATCTTTCCGATCCCGAAGCTTGCTTCACTTGATAGTTGGTGACATGGCCCGGTGACATTCGCGCACCTGCAGCCTCTATGTAGACTAAGCGACCACCGGTGTCGCGCAGGTCCTCGAGGGCTCGTAGCTGCCCGGCCTCGCACAAGTTAGAGTCTGAAGCGGTTCGTGCACGGGCTTGGTCCGGTGTCATCGGATGTGGTATGAAGTGATGATGGGATTTTTGGGCTTGTGCCGGCAGCTTCGTGTGCCTCTCTGCGGATGTCTTCCTCTTACAGCCTGATCTACCAAGCCCCACAAGGGTTCCGTGGAATGCATGATGCGGGAACTGGACCCACAAACTTGTTGACCTTGGGACTTGGGACTCTCCAGCTTTATGCGGGCTAAATGTATGGAGGAGTTGCAGCTGGCCTTGAGAAAGAGGCGTGTTGTCCCCAGGGTCCACCTCGCACGAAGAACACAGACTCTTGACAGCTTAACTATTCACGCATCGAAAATACCCTGAGATTTAGAGCTTTGGGCTCCGCGATCCGCTAGGAGAGGGCACGTTATGCAAGCAAGGAGCTGGCTCTCATCAATGTCCCAGGCAAGCATCACTGCATGCATGAAGTTTCGGTCCTGCACGCTTTGGAACGTGAAAAGCGGGCTCTTCCTGCATCTTACCTGGTAGGTGGCCTTTCAAGCCATCCTGGGTTCACTGAAAACTCAATTCCTCGGCAAAAGGTACCGGGCAGCGGCAACAGCCACCTGTGAAGCAACCGCGAACCGCAAAGCGACTGGATTGTGTGCTGTTGCATCGGAGCACATGTTCAGCAATCTCGCAACTGTATGGTAATATCTTCTGACTTTGTATGCCCATCGAAGCAGCCCCCCGAATGAAACTTTGGCAGGTGCGTCTGAAAATCTCGATCTTGACCCTCTATCGACTGCCTTCCAGCGCAATAGAAAGATTGAACTTTTCAGGGTGCTTCGACTGCCGCCCCCCAAAACCTCATGCTGGTGCAAACGGGGGTGATCTGCCGTTCTGGTCTGAGCCATCACACATACATTACATATATATATATATATGTATCTGTATATGTCTGTCATACCTGCGCTATCAGACATGAAGACTCAAGCTGAGCTGTCCGAGTAGTGGGCAAACTCAGGCGGCAAGAGCTTCTCGAAACGTGCCCGCAAGTCCTTAGACCAGGGCTTCGGGCCTTAGGGGAATTTTGGATTCAGGGTTTGGGTTCAGGGATCCGAAGTTTGAATGCCGCGCCAAGGCTCCCGGAGGATGCAGCGGTGGGGATAGCCGTAGTGCATGATTCGCACCAGTTCGACAGTGCCGCACTGAATCACCTCGTCCATGCAACCCAAGCCCCACTGAAGATCTAGTTTCAGACTCGAGCCGCCCTCATTTTCTGAAAAGGTTTTCCGAACCCTGCTTCTTCCATTACCTCTCATGTCTCCATCTCTTCTGGCCTCCCTGCTCGCAGAGTGGAGCGGCAAGCTGCAGACGGTACTAGAAAACTGTACAAATGCACAGTCCGGTAGCTGCTACGACAGTACATCAGGATGCACGGGCACCCCAAGACCCCAACGCATCTTAGAATTCTGGCTCTGGCCTGGTCCAGGACATACTTCCGGTTGAAGAGCCCCGGCTTTCGCTCCTGAGGGAAGGCATGCAAACCTGAGCAGTTGATCCTGAGGCAAGAGAAAGATGGATATAATGAAAATAAGAATACTAATAGTAGTACCTAATACTAGTACTAATAATACTCACAATAATCATAACAATAACAACGAACAATGACAATGATATAGTACCGGCCGGCCTGGTTGGGGTTGAAGCAGCGGATGTAGTGCACGGAGCACATCTTGAGGGTGGCGAGCAAGTCCTTGCTCGAACTGCTGGAAGCTTCCATTCCGTAATTACGACGGCAACACAGGCCTGGCCTTTTGGAGTCATGGTCTGGGGCCTCCCGACACCCTAAACCTAAACTTAGACGTTCCCAAGTTCAGTCCGAGAGTCGTTGAGGTTGCTCAAGTACGTACTGCTGACGGAGCACAAGCGCTCGCCAGTGTAGGCGGCCGACAGCCGGCTTGTGTCGGCCATGCTTGTGACGAGCTCCTTGCTGCCGTCTGCAAGCAGAGACTCGATCTCTGGAACGAGGGAGTCATTGTTCTTGTCGATCCAGCCCTTTGTAGAGTAGGACACCTCGGATTTTTGCTACACTCCGCTGAGAAGAAAGCCAGTCCGCAATCCCTGGGCATCTCATCTCCGTGTAGCATGTCCTCTCGTACTCTGGCCCGGTTCTGACAGCTGACCTGTGATGTTGCATGCTTGTTGAATGCGTTCTGAAACTTCTAAAAGTTGCACTAGACCCACTCATACGTGCCACAAGCCGAAGGACGGGTCCAGCGTAGTGGCAAATCTGAAAGCCTTAGATGTCCCAGGTCATCTTGGACTCTCGCATACTCTCGCAACCATAAAACACCTCGGCGAACCTGCATGCGCATTTTTCTGGAAGCTGTCTGTGTGTTTCAGCCGTTGCTTTTGAAAGGGCGTGCTCAAATGCAAACGGCGCATGGTCTCTTGTTTGGGCCAGACCCTATGCTCGTCCCCATGCTTCGCATCGATCTTATGTCGTGGGACTTTCAGGGCTTTGGGCACTACAGAACATTCTGCATTCGCAGCTTATGGGGGCATGCCACTCCTAGACCCTAACTGCACCAGATCTTAAACTCAGGTCCAAAACCCTTAGTCCTAAATTTGCTACATCCTGAATCCTGATTCTTCAACCTTCGAGTGCCGAGGCAGCCGTCATGAAGTCCAGGTCCTGCTCCGGAGCGGCTGGCCTGGAGCCGACTCGGAAGTCTCGGCAGTATTCTATTGTAGACTATTGTGTGATTGTAGTAGTAGTACTACCACCACCACCACCACCAGGACGACGACGACGACGACGACGACTACTACTACTACTACTAGCGCTGCTCTGCTATCGCCACTACCGCCACCGCTGCCACTACGACGATGACGACCATTACCACTACTAGTACTACTCTTACTGCTGAGGCTACTGCCGCTGCCGCTGCTCCTAATCCTACAGTAGCAAGGTAGTAAAGCAGGAAGGTCGGTCGGTGGTTGGGCCTTCAGCTTCAGTGGCAGCACCGGTCCACACTGGCGATCACGGATCAGTTCGCGGTGAACCTGAACAAGGCTAAAAAAGCGGAGCAACTCTATGTCTAGGACTCTTTCTGTCGCAGTCGGATCCAGCCAAATGAGGTGGGCCCTTCGTTGCTATCCAAGCGGGATTGAAGCCAACCGCGTAACTCACGAGACATCACAAGACAAGGGTGTGGGTTTCTTGTTGGCCATACGCAGTTATGAGTCCAATGGGCCAATGGAGAAATACAAAGCCTGCGTGGGCCTATGCAGCGACGTATGACATCCTAGACGGCCCTTGTCCGCCGAACCTGTTCGCAGAACTTGGCATCCTTGTCGTCCTTCGGACCCGTGCGCACCAGATTCTTGATGGCCCGCAGGCTGTGCTCGTCCAGCAGCTTCATGACATTCCTCAAGCCGGGATGCCAGAATTTGTCTGGCAAAGTCGGCGAAGGAAGGTTGGTAGCACTGCAGGTTGCGAGACGGACTGCCAGGAAGCGCCAGAAGGAGTCTGTCGAGCTACGAATGCGCTTTCTCTACATCTGTATATAAGGTGAGTGTGTGTGCATGTATATATATATATATAGAGAGAGAGATACCTGTTCCTTTACACACACACACACAATCAGGCTATTTATACATGAAAAGTTAAATAAATATAAATATAAATAAATATATAAATAGATAAATAAATATATACATATATATATACACATCTGTGATTATACACGTGTGTATGTATGTAAATGTGTAGATGTGTATACTATTGTTCTTCCAAAGCTTCTGGACGCCCAGAACCACGGGAGTGGAGTCTGGCAGGTCCATCTCGAGTACCGTAAGCCGCTCCTCCTCGTACATCCGCTGCTCCGCCTGGAGGACCTCTGCAGGAAAGGGGTCTTTTTTTGCCTCCTACTTAGCCAGGACGAGCCCGCATTGAGGGTACAGGAAAGGGGTCGTTTAGCTACTTAGCAAGATTTAGCAAGGACGCGCCTGCCTTGCAGGGTATTTAGGGTCGTTCAGGGTTTAGGGTTTCGTAGGAGGGTTTTGGGGCAGAAGGACAATAAGGGCCCCAAAGTTGCTACACTGCTTCCAAAGCAATCATAAGCTATAAGCGAAAGCTTCAAACAACAATGCAGGCCTTACGACGTAAGAAAAGTTACCTTGCGTAATAGCCCTGCGTCTCAACAGCAACCTTTCAACCTCCACGCACCGGAGCCATGCTATGCCTTCAGTGAACACTTGTCAACAACTTCCCTGCAACAAAAAAACAGCCTTGCAAAGATCGGCCCTGAACTCTCGTTCTTATTACCATTCGCATCAAAGACTCAGAGGGGCTGGTCTTTACCAATCTTCTTATCTGAACGACCAAGATAACCCAAAGCACAGCTCCCCTCAAAAGCGACTGTTGCAATCTTCAGAAGCCCTATTAAACCCACCACCTCCTCCACGAAGAACTGCTGCAAGCGTTCGTTCGCCAGGTTGATGCACATCTGTTCGAAGCTGTTGAGCTCCAGCCGCTCGAATCCGTAGATGTCCAGGGTCCCAATGCCTCGACACTCTACTAGTAATATAAGTGGCCCGATGATAATCTCAGAATGGGGTTTAGGGGTATATTTGGTATTCTATTACGGACCATCGGAGGATACTACTGCTAGTCCTTCCGGCCCCTAGAATAAGGAACGGGTCTAAAAGGGGTATCCCCAGTTTGCAAAAGAGGGGCTGTTGTACGAGACCTCCGGATGAAACTTCGCGTTGGAGACTTCGTTGATCTTTGCCACTATCTTGTCAAACATGCGCTTGTACAGCACCTTAACACAAGGACTCTCCATTCCGACTGGGATTTCGTGAGTCTCGAGTTTCTGCAACGCAATGACTGCACGACATCGTCTGAGGACGCAAAAGGGTCTCGATATTCCGCGAGTCAGTCTCAGATCACTTTCTGACGACATTGAAACTGCAGCATAGTGTGTCACTCCTCTGTAATTACAGCACTGTGCAACAATGACTGGCTGGTGTTAAATCTTAGCGTGTTGAGCACCTTGATGATGCACTGGAGCGTCTGGCGTGCTTGTGCAAGGCTGCGGGGGCACTTGATGTGCGATGTGCGTCCTGTCGACAGCATAGACGTACCCCAGATCATGACTGCAGGGCCATGTAAGAACCTGACCGGAAGAACGTTATGATGCTTATCAGAGGCCAAGCAACCCCGCTCCGTTGCCAACACCCAGCTCCGATCATGGGCCCTCATACGCTGCAAATATCCCCTCACCCCTTGGCAGGTGGTGCTGTAAACGACTGGCAGCGGTAAGCATGACTTCAGCAAGTGAAACCCTCATACATCTTGGTGGATGATGTAGGGACATCCCTACATGCATATCCCTACCTATGCACCTATGTATGAGCAAATGCAGGCATCAATCCCTACCCCGTGCGCAGCCCAGGTATGACCAGGATTCTTTCGCCAGGTTGGCCAGTCCTTGTTTGTTGACGCGCATTTCACGGAACCTTGGTCGGCAGAGCGTCACTGCTTGCACTGAGGCAAAGGTGCCTCCAACATTCCTTGCTTAAACTTCTGGGTCTTGCCGAGCATCGTGCGTGAGATTCAAGAAGGACACATGCCAGTAAAGTCTGATAAAGTCTGGTCTTGCACAGCGTGACCGAAAAACCCGCCCACCGATTCCACTAGCCCCAGTCGACAGTGCCGCTTGCAGTACTTGTTTCTCAAACCTTTTCTCAATGCTTCGGTTCTCCTGTCATACAAACATGACCTGTGGTGCCTTGCACCACGAGAGCCTTCAACCTAAGCTACTGACCAATCCATCGGATCAATTTATTCAGTATGATCAATTTATTCAGTATGTAAACCGATACAAATTAGAATCAGTCGAATTGCCAAATGCAGTAAATACTGAATTCTAGGTGTCAGAAGCCAACAGCAGCAAAAACACGACCACACAAACAAACGACACGCACAATCTATTCATCTACCTACCTACCTACCTACCTACCTACCCACCTACCTACCTACCTACCTACCTACCTACCTACCTACCTACCTACCGACCAAGCAAGCTAGCTACCTACCTACAGATCTACCTATCTACCTGGCTACCGGCCCATCTAGCATTCTACCCATCGATCTATCTATCTAGGTGTATATGCGCATACCTACGCAGAGCCATGTAGCTTTCAGTCGTGGACAGATTTTTGAAATGTCTCGTACAGTTTTCTGCTTGGCTCTTCGGGACCGCTTCTAAAGACTAGTTTACAACGTTCAAGAGGCCATCATGAGATGACGATACTACTAAAGAGGCCTGAATAATTAGAACAAGTTCTTGTGTATGTTATGAACGTAGCGTGATAATTATGATGATAAGAAGCCTATGGAATAACATTGGTAGTTATTATTCAGGATTCTGTATTCAACCCAAATAAAAACCCGTCATAGTAAGCCTTACGGAACTTTATAAACGAACCCTATTGAGGATACTTATTCCTCAGTATTCCTTGTAATTACTAATCTTCATATTCCTGCTATTGCTATTACTATTACTGTCATCCATATTGAATATCATTACTACTCATACGATATCTATCACCATGCCTGCTACTAGCATTATAGTGTAGTAACCCGAAATTTGAAAGCCCCGCTATCTTCTTCAGAAGCCAGAAGAGCTTAAGGATGCGGGAGATGCCAAGCCCGGTGAGGCCCAGAAGGTCCGCGGCCGTCTCAAGCGCCTCGACACATAGGGACGTATTAGGGACATATAGGACACAGGGGGCCTCAATAGTTAGAACAGGGTTACCTTAAGGGTTCCCTCAAACGGATCCATGACTTGATAAAGAAATATGGATAGATTTGGGGTATATTCCACGGGCATCTGATCAGCCTCGCTTTTTCGAGAGCTCTTTATGGTACTCTATGGCCATCTTCCGATGTCGACACTTCAGGATTTCTTGGGGCCCATCAGGGTTTGGGATTGACGTGCGCAGTCCCTGCGCCGGAAGAGTCCCGAAAAACAAGTCAAACGCTTGTTTCAACAAGGAGGCCGTAAACTTAATCGTAACGATGATCCTGGCCCATGTGAAATGCAATGAAGCAAGAGTCGTGCTGCTTCCGGGCCTCTTCCGTCTCTTGGGAGACGGCGACTTTTGCGGTCTGGCTGCCTGCAGTGCTGTTTCGGAATCAGCGCAACTTCACCGACGGAAACGGTTCTGAGACTGCTTGCAGTACATGACAATAGTTGGCAATAAGCTGCATGCCATTGAGCCTTGCCCTTCCTCCCGAACACACGTTCTTCCGAGTAGCTGTCCGGAAGTGGCAGGTCCGACATCGCCGTGGAGGCCGTGTGGGAGCCTCAGGGTAAGACGACTCTGCATGGGCGACATTTCGGTGCTTCAACGTATGAAATGGCTCCAATAGTCTTGCAATGATGCAGCTTTTGGATGAGGACCTTGTATCTTGCCGACAGACTAAAACCAAGACCCTGAGTTGCGCCCAAGTGCTCGGTGAAATGCATGGCGACGAATCGGGTACTGAGCAGTCCTGGGATGAGAGCAGCTTGAAAGCGGGCTTCTCAATAGGGCATATGCTTGTACCGCTGGTTTCCGAGAGGTTTTATTGGGCGGCAGATGTTAAGGCTGTTAAGGTTGATCCGGTCAAATAAAGGGGCAGAAAGGATGGGTATGGCAGGTCAAATGCGGTTGATTCTTTACCGGTTGAACCAGAAACTAGCACGCCGACAACAGGAACGAGTCGTGTTTAACATTGACATTCGTTCCTGTACGACGAGGCCACTCCTAATATAGTCTTTTTACGACCCCTTCGATTCGGGCCCACAACGCTCACCAGCACAGTTGACTCGGTCCTGCCATCAGGAAAACGGATGTGTGCATTGTGAAATCATGAGAGCTCATGTGCTGAAGATCTCCTGCAGCTTAAGCCCCACTGACACCATTCCTATTGCCATTACAATTGTTATTCTATCATCCTTGTTACTATTCCCATTGCCATTACAATTCTTATTCTATCATCCGTGTTATATTAAATATAACACGAAGTTTTAATATTAATACTATTGCTATTCCGAGCCCGGCGGCATCTTCGGAAGGTCCCGTCTCCACGAAGTCCACCTCTCCCAAGTGGATCAATGCCCCGAGGATGTCCCACATGTGCTCCTTCGGAGGAAAATATGCAATGATATAATATTTCAGTATACGGCAGTTGATCTAAATCTGTAGATATGTACAGGCTGAAAAGCTGTTTCATACTATGCATGTTATACTGTAGGTTTGCTTCCGTGTGCAGATATTAAAGCGTTGTCCATGTCGCATTTCACAAGATAATTGTCGATAGATCAGAAGATGAGAAATTGTGGCATAGCATATAAATCTGCCCCAATCTTCGATTGCATGACGTTCTCATGTATCGTCTACGTATCCAGGCACAGAGATACCAATCCATCTATCTACCCATCTATCCATCTGTTTGTGATCCATCTATCCTTCGACCGGTCTATCTGTGAAAGGACTTTCACCTTGCCTGCTCCAGGCAGCATTCCAAGTCTCTGGAGCCAACCACGCCCTCCTGGAAGGAGGCAGCGCGGCGGCGCGTTGTGAGGACTATGTGGGGCCCATCATGTGTAAGCCCTGGTGCACTTCTAGTCAGCACTTCGTGAACCCCGTGTGTGTACATGCACATACATAACTTTTTGCATATGTGGAGGTATGTGCATCAGTGTACATACATACATATACATACAATATGTGTGTGTTCGTGCAGAGTACATATATGTATACATATGTGCGGATGCTTCTTCTAAAGAGTATTTGTATATGTACCTGTATCTTTGTAGATATATGTATGTACGTATGTACATGCATAGGTATGGGCAGGTAGGTAGGTGGGCATGCACGTATGTATCTTGGTCTTTGCATGCATGCAGGCATGCATGCAAGATTGCATGCATGCATCTATGTACATACACATGCATGACGTTTGCATGTAGGTATGTATTTCGGTATGTACTTACGTACGCATGTACTTATGTAGGTATGCATTTATGTACGAGCTTACATGAATGTACATATCACACCTGTAGATAGGCAGATGGACATTTACATGGATGGATAGCTAGACGGTAGATGGATTTCAGTCAACTGCTACCAGAAGGACTTAGTTTTGCTTCCGTCTGTGGACCTTTCTGCTGAACGTTTTTGCATTGCTCTCAGGAGCGTGCGCACGATTATGAAGAATTCCAGCAACATGATTGAATAGACTCATGAGCTTGCCAGTAGTGGCTAAACACATGTGCGTGATTGGTCTTTCTCGCACCCCTGGCAGTATCACTCTAGCTTGTATATGAACTGTGTCGCATGCTCATACTTGGTACTATTGTCACCATGACAGTGTATGATGAACAGAATTCCCGGCCTGCTCATGACAAGTGTTTAAGAGCACTTCGGCTGTACCAGCCTTTGATCCATCATCATGTTGGCATTCCTACTCTCTTGCTAACTTGATCGTTAGCATCCTGTCGCTGTTGTTGTTCTTCGTGTTGTTTGTCTTTTGAGGGCAGCCCAGAGCCCTTTAAGTGGCGAAACGGAGGAGGCTTTTTGGATGGTAGGGGAAACTTTCTATGCCGATACAGATGGTAATTCCAAGCCACATGAAGGAGCCGAGATGTACAATGTACCAGGGCTTTCTCGAACACTGGTACTGTTCGATGCTATTCCTGTGAGGGGAGGACGACTAGTGGTTTGTGGCATGTGGTGCAGCAGCCGTGTCTTTCGTACAGTCTTCGCCCATTTGGCACCGGCGCTGGCAGTTTCTGGTGGGTCTCATCATTGAGTTGGATGGCGATTGTGGAGATGACCTCCCCTAAAGACCCCTAACCTGAAATTGTCATTCTGCTTTAGTTTCCCCTAAAGACCCCTAACCTGAAATTGTCGTTCTGCTTTAGGTCTGTCCACAAGTCCTAATGTCTGTTCTGTCCGCCTCTTGTCACTGTCTGGCTTCCAGTGCAGTCAAAGACTCGGTTGCGGTCGAGTGCGAGACATGTCCTGACATGGAAACGCCAGCTTTTCAGGAGCCTTCCAGAGGACGTCGACTGTCTTGCGAAATCTGCGGACCAAGTCAGGCCGCATCATTTGCCTGCTGCTTGGGTGTAGGCTGTAGGCGAAGGTGGGGGCGAGATATCGAGGTCTGCACGGTTTCTGCACGCACTTGCCTGTAGCATCGGCGCTGTCATAAGCAGGACTGCCACCTTTCGAATCTTTCGTGGCTAAACAGACGACCAGAGTATGCAGTTGACGGCATTGCTGTAACATGGCTGTAAATCATCTTGTCGAACAACGTACATGTTTGCTGGGTCCTAAACTGACTTCGGAGTTGAGGCAGCTGACTTTTCCTTTTCAACCATAGACCTGCCTTGTGGCCGTCAGACGTTTCTGCCGACCGTGGCTTCAATACCTCTAAACCTTAAACCCTAAACCCTACACCCCAAACCCTAAACCCTAAACCCTAAACCCTAAGCCCTAAGAATGCCTCAATGCCTCACGAGGGACCCTCGGCTGCCAAGAGACGTGTCGGCAACAGCGCGAGCGCCTTGGCTCGGTTTCGACTTCACCTCTGCCCAGAGACTCCAATACCCCTTAATTAAGGAATATACCTTACATCATATTAAGGATCCTACTATAATTTAAGGTATATTCCTTAATTAAGGGATATTGGAGTCTCTGGGCTGTCTTCGAAGGAGAGGCGAAGCCGTCTGATGTGTTGTTGTAGTGTTCCCAGTTCAGCCAATGAGAGGAGCTTACATGTAGATTCAAGTAGGTGACTTGCTGGCTGTTTCAGCACACGCGAGGAGTCTGTTAAGGTTCTGGCCTTCAGTTGATCGTCACAGGGCAGAGTTTCAGGACGCTTATTCTTGGCCTGCCCCAGACCACTTCGATAGAGGGGTGGGGGGGGGTT